CCGGAGCGGCGGCGGCGATAGGCTGCGGCCATGCGGAGCGGCGCGGGGCTGCTGCTGGCGCTGGGCGCCGCGGGGGTGCTGCTCCTCCGCCTCCTCCTCCTGCTGCCGCGGCGGGCCCGCCGCGCCCTGCCCGTGAGTACCGCGGCGAGGGGACGGGGCTCGCCGGCAGAGCCGCCGGAGGAGCCCCGGGGCCCAAAATGGCGCCGGGCCGTGTGGCCGGGCCGGGCCGGGCTGAGGCGCTGCAGATGTCGAGGCCGGAGCCGCAGTGCCTGGCCCGGGTCGGGCTGGTGGAGCCGGACAGACGCTGTGAGGGGGCGAAGCGCCGAGCTGGGCACGGCCCGGGGCGATGAGGGCCCTGCCGCGAGGCTCGGCCCGGCCCCGGTGCGGCGGGCGCTGCCCTCGGACCCGCGGTGCGGCGGCTGCTCCCCCCAGCTGGAGCCGGACAGACGCTGTGAGGGGGCGAAGCGCCGAGCTGGGCACGGCCCGGGGCGATGAGGGCCCTGCCGCGAGGCTCGGCCCGGCCCCGGTGTGGCGGCTGCTCCCCCCAGTAGTGCTTCACTGGGGGGGGTAACATGTTCATGTAATCATGGAATGGCTTCGGTTAGAAGGGACCTTAAAGATCATCCAGTTCCAACCCCATCCCAGGTGCAGGGACACCTTCCGCTAGACCAGGTTGCTAGAGCCCTGTCCGCCTTGGCCTCCAACACTTCCAGGATGGGGCATGAACAGCTTCTCTGTGCCGCCTGTGCCAGGGCCTCAGCACCCTCACAGTTAAGATTTTTTCCCTAATATCTTGACTAAACCTACTCTGAATTTAAACCTATTCCCCCTTGTCCTGTCACTACGTGCTCCTGTAAATGGTCTCCAGTCAGATAGTAAAAGGCCACCGTTCGGTCACCCCAAAGCCTTTTCCAGGCTGAACAATCTAAATTCTCTCAGTCTTGTCTCATAGGAGAGGTGCTCCATCCCCCTGACCATCTTGGTGGCCTCCTCTGGATGCAGTCCAACAGGTCCATGTCCTTCCTGTGTTGGGAGACAAGCTGGATGCAGCACTGCAGGTCTCACCAGAGTGGAGAGAATCGCCTCCTTTGACCTGCTGTCCATGCTGCTTTGGATGCCCAGGATATGACTTGCTCTCTGAGCCAATGTTTTTGCTTCAGGACTTCCAGCTCAGTTTTTCACCCCAGCATGACCAAAAAACAGCTGTAGTCTGATTGCAGCCTCCCACTTCACTCCTCCATCCACTCTGCTTCTCTTACTTTCCCCATCCCTGTTCCAGCTGAGAAAATACTTCAGTGAATATTTTCAGTTCTTTTTCCTGGGATTGAAAACCTCAACTTTCCCAACCCTGGAAAAAGGATCAAACCAAGTTTCCTTTGTAGCTGCTCTTATCCTAAAATCAATCTGTTTGATAACATCAGGGAATAGTCACTGGAGCCACAAATGGGAACAGGATTAAAAAAAAAAAAAAACCAAACAGGTGGCACATTAGAAAAAGATTAAGTCTAGGTAAGCATGCCATATTCCCATATTGGCTAGAGAGACTGAAAAAGTAGCTCAATTGTTCAATTCTTCAATTTCTTCAGTCTGTTCTGCAGTAAATGTATAATTCTGATAGATCACCTGCATTAGTAAAATAATTTATACTATTTAATAAACTGGCCATATCCCAGTAGGAAATGCTGTGTACATCTGAGCTGACTGCAGGTTAAAATGAGGCTGCTCTGCTAGGGCTGCCTGAACTGTGAGGAATAGTGTTGTGGAGCACACAGCAAGCACAGACAGTGTTACTGTGCCCACGTGGCACAGCAGCACCTCTGGTACAAGAAGTTATTCTGTGCTCTTGGATGCCAGGCACGCTGTCCCAGGCACTGTCAGCACTGGAGTGCTGTCCCCATGCAGTGTTTCAGGCAGCCCTGCATGACCCCGAGTGAGGGAGGCACCTGAGTTCCTCAGAATGCTCCTTAAGGTCACTGTGCTGATAACTGGTCCTCTCTGCCTGTCCCAGCATTGGGTCAAATTAAGCTGCAGATTGGCCTTATCAAATTTCAGGAACAGCCCCATTAAGCCTTATCTTAGGACTTCCAAAAGATAAGGGTGGTTGGGCTTTTCTGAGTTCAGAGGTTTTTCTGGCAGGGGCTCCCTTTGGCTGGGCATGGGGTTGGTCCCTGCTGTCATCCCTGGGAGCTCTCTGTCCATCAGGCATGGCACACACAGGCCCAGGTTCAGATGTGAGATCCAGCACATCCCTTGGGGGTTTGCATGCTCCTTGCTGTTAAGAGCCATGATGCTGTAGTCACGTGTTTTATTACCAGCAATTAGGGTTACAGCAAATAACAATCACGAGATCCCTCACTTTCCTTACTATTAAATGCAGATGAGAGGATTTTTAAACCTCATTTCTGTCTACATTTTGGTTGTTTGATTGGGGATTTTTTTTTTTAAGGAACTAATGATAGATGGTTGAGGATTGGGTATCTTCTTTGCTTGCCTGACCTGTGTTCTGGAAGTGATTACAGCTGCCTATTTTCTGCCACTTCCTTCTCTTTTGGGGAGTCCTCTGCCTTCAAGATTCAGAGGCAAAGGCTCTAGGGAAGTGAGAGAAAGAGAAAAAAAAGTAAAATAATTTATTTTTTCACAGGCCAGCTTGCTGAGTTATTGTAGGAGGTGACCTTGACAACTTCTGTGATCTGGTTAATGTTTGATTTTCATCTCTCTTGGAGTTGTGTCACTCTAAATTAAATTCAGGCTGAGCACTGTATATTTAATTTTCACTCATCTTTTGTCCTTTAGCTGTAGCTATCTTTAGACCTTTAATAGAGCTAGTCTGTACCTGGGTGCTCTTTGTCTGAGTATAGGTTATAGTATAATGTTAATGTGGGTGTTTGTATTATAAGTGCAGGATAGACTTTTGATCAGTTCTTGTTTCAGCTTCAGATCTTAAGTTCCCTTTGAGAACAGTTACTTCAACAAGAATTATAGGACAGGGTGTAGCTTTATTTGCTTATTGTTCTCTGCTGAGGCTCACCCTGAGTTTGTGCAGTAATGCTGTGATCACTATAGCCCTGCAATCATTCCTTATTGCTGCTTCACTTCACCACATGTCAGCAGAGCAAGAGATCAGAGCACTGGTGATTGACCCATTTCTCTCTGAAAATGTGGCTGGACCAGCCAGTGCAATTCATACATAAGTGTGTTCATATTCCAGACGTAGTGAATACAGTAAAGAGCAACATTAACTGCCAAAGTCTCCAGAGAGATCTAACTGACCTCACTTCCTTATTGCATCCTCTGCATTTTTATTGCTGTATCATGTTATTGCCTCATGGATATAGTTTCAGTTTGGAGGATTGTGCAGCACAGCAGCTGGCAGCCTTCTAGCTGGGTTAAGTGTTAGTTCATTGCTTCACACCTGTGGTGAGGAGGTGACTTTCAAGCAAAGACAGAGGGTGAAGGGGCTATAGCTTCTCTTCAGGATTTGGGATTCTGCTTTCCTATCTATCTCAAGCCTGATGTATCATACCAGATGGAATATCAAATCATCTTTCTCAATTTACCTGTCAGTCAAATGATAATGTAGGAGAGAACTGTAGGATTTGATCAGTTGTTCTTCTTAAGACTGCAGAGTTTCAGGAGGAAGATCTAACCTGTAGTCACATTCCTGTGTGCTAAAATACAGCATGGAAAGTGCTGCATAGAGTGGGAGTAGGTGGGGAACAGACAGCAGTCACTCAGCAGCTAAAAGAGCTGCTGTACTGTTCAAGCCAGTGACATCCTGTCATTTGGATGTTCTCTATGCTTCTTTTTCTTACTATGAACTGGTAGATCATTAACTTCTTTTAAAATGTTTCTGTTCTGCTTTGGCCACTGATGCTTGAAAGAAATAATAGTTACTGTTCCAGCTCAGGTATCAACAACACAAATTGTTACAGACCAGCAACTGAATAAATTTGATTCACAGGAGTTGGGAGGTGGTTGTGTCTGTGCACACAGGTGCCACTGTCCCTTGCATCTGGAATTGTACCTGCCCTGGCTGCAGGAGTGCAAGTGGCTCCTGTGCTGCGGGGCAGGGTGGTGGTGGTGCCTGCATTGTAATATCTGATGGTATCCTGTGACTGTTTTCCCACACAGGCTGAAGGGAAGGCGGTGCTAATAACAGGCTGTGACAAAGGTTTTGGACACGCCTTGGCAAAATGCCTTCATGCAAAGGGATTTACTGTTTTTGCTGGATGCTTGCTCATGGTGAGTGGTGAAATTAATCAAAATTTTTCTGATTAGAGAAAAACACTTCTCAAATTAAAGCATTTTCGTTTGCAGCCTTCATTTACCCTGGTTCAAGACCTGAGAAAGGTACAGTGGGCAGGGATCATTACATTTTCCATTGCTTCATCTGCCTGTTGTATCTTGTACCTCATTCCTGTAATTGTGAGCTCTTTAGGGTAGGGCTCATCTGTCTGTACAGTAGCTTGTACAGTGTGGCCCTGTTCACTGTCAGAAGCCTCTCAGAAATACCACAACACCATAAATCTGATAGGCTGAGGTTGCTGTGGCACTGTGGCTTTCTGTCTTCCATGGCATCCCTGATGCTGTCTTTCCAATGCCATTTTTTGTGGACACCCTCCCCAAATTCATCTCCAAGTTGCCTCTTCTGCATTATTAAGGCTGTTTCAAAAATGTCTTGCAACTGTTCTTCTGCAGCTTCTGAACAGCTTGTAGTTCAGTTTATGGATTTGGCTGAATAAACAAATTTACCATACATTTCTGACATCTTTAGGTCTGACTTCCTGTCACGTGTGTTTAGCAGGTGGCATCACTCGTAAGAGATAAGTTTAGGCACACTAAATCCGAAGTGGTTGCAGACTCCTCATTCCAGTCCCTGCTCATGCAAAGGACTTACAACTTAGTGTTGTGAAACACTTTTTATAAACTGGGCTGGCTCCACTTCCATGTCAGCTGGGATTTTACCTTTACTATGCATTTTTGCTGTATTGCTAGTCAAAACTCGTGTGTGATATCTGACCTGAATTGCTCAAAATCAATAAATGGTTGCTCATTTCTCCATTTGAACATGACCACATCAGCAGAGGTGCTCAGGGCATGATGACTACAGATTTTTGAGTACTGTGGAAGGTGAGAATAAACAAGGGTGGCCTTCTCTGCCTGTGTGATCATAGCAGACATTACGTTCTTCCACCACACGAGAAAGGAAAGTTATTATCAGCTGACATATTGTGTAACTTGAGAGCAAGAGAGTCCTGTTGGATTATTGCCACTGTTTGGAAATTTCCATAAGGAGGCTCTGTAATTCCTTCAGTAATCATGTCATGTGCTGCTTTGGGATGCCTGTCTCAGTGCTGATGGCAGGTCAGGCACTGCAGAGCAGCAGATGTAGGGAAAGGAAAGGGAAAACAGGGTGGCTGAGGGGGCTGTTTAGAAGGCACATGCTAGTGTGGAGCAGAGAGGGACAGGCTCCGTTGGACACCACATGAAGAAATGGAATGCTCCTGAAGTGAGGCCTGTTTGCTTGCTTGCTTCATTGCTTGTGAGCTGCTGTAGGCTCCCAGCAGGGTCAGAGCACGTGTAGGAGCAGTTGTCATGAGCAGATGCCAGGCTCTTAGTTCACACCTAGTTAGTCCATCACAACTTACATGCTTTTATACAGAGAATTACAGGATCCCTGATGTACTACACCACCACAAACAGCTCTTGTATTAAATACAGCATAATAGACTGTGAGGTGCATCAGGAGCTTCTTAATGATCAGACAGTCAAATATAAAGTTACAGGAATAAAAAGAATATTGCACACAGGCTGGGATAGAACTGGAAAGGATCGAATGGAAAAGGGATTACATTAAGCAAGGGCAAGTAAGTCCACTGAGAAAGTTTCTGTTAATATACCATTTACCCTGGTTCAAGACCTGAGAAAGGTGCAGTGGACAGGGATCGTTACATTTTCCATTAAGATGGAAAAAACACACAGAAATAGATTATTAAATAACCTTAAATGTAGAAATTACAGGAGAAGTTGAAATAATAATTGTTTTATTTTCTTTGATCTTACTGAAAAAAAAAATAATTTTTCATGTGCCTACTGCCAGCAGTTACCATGAGGACTGTAGGCAAGAAAAGGTAAAGAACAAGGGATGTTTGTATAAATTAATGTGCTCAAGTTCACCAGACCTGATGAAATATCCTTAACGGCATTTAGAGGATGAGCCATTGTGATTTCTGCCCCATGGGTGATATTTTCAAGAGCACCTGGAAGTCAGTGGATTTCCAGAAGCCTGGAAGAGGACAGATATCATAGTTCCCTTCCCAAAAGAGATAGACCTCTGGAACTGCCAGCCAGGCAACTCACCTTCAGTGCACTCGGTGCAATTGCCACACACTGCCCTGTCAGTTTTACAGATGACCGCATCATAGTGTGATGCACCCTGCCTGTATAAGTTTACTGGGAACAAACTGTGCTGTGTCCATCTAATCTCATTTTGGCTAAGCAGCAGAGTGGCTAAAGGGGAGGGAATAAATGTATCCTGAGTGAGGGTTTTGTCACAGTTTGTTACCCGAGTTACATGCTCATGAGCAAACTCATCCTCTAAGTGACTGCTGTTGAGTCCCAGGACCATATCATTGGAAGTACCCCACAAAAGAGAGTTAGCACTCAAAAAATATGCTCAGAACCATGCAGAGAATATGATAGACCTTTTGGGGAACAGGGTTCTAAATGATCCTGCCGGGTGGGATGGAGTCTGAAATCAGTTTTGTGGAATGCAGTAATGACAAGCACGAGGTGCTGCGCTCAGGAAGCGCAGGAAGGCAGCACGTGGATTGGCAGCAGGGTGGGAAGGAACTGGCGCACACGGGGTGAGATGGCTGCATCCACGGAGCTCAGCATTGTTCATGGCTTCCTGCTCCCCCCTGACACCTCACTGCGGGTGCCCCAGTGCTTGCCAGGACCTAATCCTGAATCCCAGGAGCTTCCCTGGGAAAAAGCCGTGGCTGTGTCTGTAACAGGGGGGCTCTCTACTAATGAACATCTGTGTGATCTGCTTCTCCTCAGCACCACTGCACTGGGATCCTCCAAACCAGAACAGGGGAGAGGAGCAAAGAAGGGAAGGGGAGGCAGCCAAAAGCTGGAGCAAGTTTCCTCAGCTGGGTAGAGAGGGTTTGTGGAGCTGCTGGGCTTCTCAGCCAGGAGCAGCTCCTCCTAGTCACAGGGTGGGGTGGGCAGGCAGAGCCTGCAGGGCTGCCAAGGCAGGATAACCATGGGATAGGGGGCAGGCAGAGCCTGCAGGGCTGCCAAGGGATAGCAGATAGCTGGCAGGAAACCACACAGTCCCATTGAAGGCCTATGGAGAGAGCTTGGGAAGCATGCTGGGCTGGAGCATGATGGCTTTCAACTCTTATGGACCTGGGAAAGGGAAGCTGGGAGATTCTCTGAGAGGACAAAAATCAGAGAGAAAAGGGAAGTGGAGAGAGGCTTTGCAGGAGCAGTTGGGCCATTGCTGCCAGCACCTCACTTGATTTGTGCTGCTGGGTGGCTCCTGCTGGTGAAGATCATGAAGATCATCCCTGGGAGGAGAGTCTGGCTGCTCCCATGGGATGATCTGCTCCAGGTGTTATCCCAGCCAACAAATTTACCATTTAAAAAACAAGGAGGAAGTACCATGTGGTACCTAGCAAGGAATGTACTTAATGCCCCTGAAAACCACAGAACATAAGATTATGTTCATTTGCTTCCATTAATATCTCTAGCTGCTTCATTTGTGAAGAGGTGTTCTGAACAAAAGAATTAAGCACTTTGTTTCACAGTTAAATAGTGGCTACGGTGGTGTCTGCAACTATGAAAAGTGGTTTTGTCACAGTTTGATATTGCATGTTGAAGTCAGTCTTCCAAAATCAATATGTTTTGTCAATAATGAGTAAATTGTAGCTGGGAAGGTAACTTTGCAGATAGAGTTGCATCAGTGATAGGGGAAAGTTAATTTCCATATGAACAATACAAACAATTTTTACTGGATTTTAAGTTGCCAGCCTACGACTTTGTTTCTCAAAAAGCAGTGGAAATATTTCCTCTTTATTTTATAAGTATTATGCAAGAGTAGAGAAAAAATGCAGGGAAAGGTCTTTTCAGTGCTCAAATGACAATTGGCACTTGCATACAGATATAGTTATGGCTTTTTATATAGGCCATATATTTTTATATTTATACATAAATCTCTCTATTTACAAGCTGAATTTGCTCCATTTTATTCACTATTAAGTAGTGGAAATTTGCTTTATAAAACTTGGTGAGATGCAGGAGCATCTTACAGAAATACAGTGAGGCATCATGCAACCCTCATCTATTTTGAAGGGAATATAATATTTTGGTGACCTTGTTGTTGACTACACCATCACCACGTTTGATGTGCATTAGAAAAGCTTCAAACTTTGTTTGTTTGCTGTTCTTGTTGTACTGGGAAAGAAGTCAGTTGTGAAATGACATTCAGTCATGGGGCCAAGAACTCATTCCTACTATTGTCATAATGCCAGTGTAACTATATATTGATTTTTAAGAGAACAGCCCTGTTTCGCTCACGTTTGTGATGGACATTTCAGCTCTCTTCCTTCATTATGTGTCATTGTTCACTGGACTGAAGGTGGAGATGAGATGTTGTATACTATATGAATTAAATAGCCTGAGATATTTATAAAAAACTAAGCAGTTACATGTTTTTTTATATCTGCCTGGCTGCAGAGGCTGCTGAGCAGGTGACTGTGGGTGGGTTGCTTGCCTTGTTTGCCCTTGTGCTGTGGGAGTTGGTATCAAGTGATAAAGGAAGAGTGGCAGCCAGGCATGGTGACTCACCAATTCATAATTTCTTCCTCCCTAATGAGGCAGAGCTTGTGATTCAGGGAATAGTTTTGTGAATTAAATCTCAAGCCTGCTGTGGAACTGTGTAGCTAATCTGTGCTCTTTTCACTTTTGTTTGTTATTTACTACCTGAGCAAGGCTCTAAGGCTTAGGCAGCAATCTAGCCTGGAAGTGAGCAGGTAAGCTTTGGAATTTTAACTGTGTTTACATTTGACTAAATTAAAAAAAAAACTCAAAAAACCAACACAGTAGTAACAGAATCTCTAATGATAGCAGTGGGATGGGGAGGAAAGAAAGGAAAAGGGTGGAAAGGAAAGCAGAGCAATGAAGTTCCTATTGCCTATAGAGTGAAAAAAAAAGGTTCTTTCTTCCTTTGCCAGAATCTCCTTTCATGCCTCATGTCTGTGATTGTGCTGCTGTGTAGCAGATCTTCACTGAGCAGGTATTCCTGAACATCTGACTCCAATTTCTGTACAAGTTATGTTACCTGTAGAGCATGGGGACCGAGGCAGTGGAGAGCCACCCATGGTTCTCCCCTGCTGGCACAATATTTCAGCACGTTAGGGATGTGAAACCCATCGTGAGGAGCCAAAACAGGGTGGGCTTTGTGGTGCTTCAGGGCACTGGGTCACTGATACAGTTCTGGAAATGATTCTGGAGGGAACAGGAGGATGGCACACTGGTTTGTGCATATTTGTGCACCAAGTTTACACCTGTGTGTGCAATGTCAGTAGCTCCTATTTCCTGTCCATTTGAATATACCTGGCCCCAAGCTGCATTGCTGTTCTTGGTCCATCTTAGTGGGACACCTTTCTGTTCTGCTGAACAGGATGAGAATGGAGATGGAGCCAGGGAGCTGAGGAACATGAAGTCTGACAGGATGCAGGTGCTACAGATGGATGTGTGCAGTGACCAGGAGGTGGCTCGGGCTGTGGATTTTGTGAAGAGGACCCTGAAGGAGCCAGACAAAGGTATGTAGGGATCTTTTGCTCACAGAATCCTTTCTATAGAGCAGACCATGCATTGACCAGGTCTTTCTCTCTGTGCACCACCAAAAGAGGGTTAACAAGCCTGAAGGCCTGTGACAGTATGTGGCTGGCAGTCAGGCTGTGCTGTACCCGGGTCAGTGAGGACAATTGTCTTGCTATTGATGTAGCAGCCACATGGAAAGAGACCAAGGCTGGCTGGAGGATTAGGCTTTAACTCTACATCCCATAAAAAGGCATGAGTGGCAGCAAGCCCACGAGTATCTGTGTCTTTGTCCTTGAATGTCTGTGAAGGGCACAGAACAGCCAGAGCTTGATCCCTTCCTTGCACTCCTGCCACACATGCTCCTAGCTTGTGCAGACCTTGCAAGTGACCCTACTAATGAAGAGGTGATGAGCCCTGGCTGCTTGCTGCTGTCCCCTCTGCTGTGTGGGTACAACTGGGTGCTGAGCTGGAGCACAGATTTGAACTGCCCCCAAACCTGGATTAATCTTTAGTCAGATCAATCCATGTTTTCCGTTTGCCATGCAACATCCCAGAGGAGATGTGAAGTAGAATCCAGAGTAGGCTTGGCATAGATGACCTTAATCCACATGTCACCTTAAGCATGAGTCCAACTCATGGATCCCAAAAGCATGTCAAGGGAGATAAGAGTCCCATCTTGCCTTCTTAGAAGTGCTTTGGAAGTGGGATGTGAGTTACAGTCAGAGCCTGATGTGACACCACCTGTCTTCTTCCCATGTGATGAGGTGAGACTTCTTGCCCTGCACAGGCTTTTCTGCAGCCTCTATGCAAGTAGTAAGCTGGCCAGCAGCTGTTGACACAGTCTGAGGGTGAACTGAAGTTTGACATCTGTGGCTTCAGGACTTCAGGGTTGTGACTTGAAGGTGGTTGCTTATCTTGAAGCTTGGATGAGTCTGCCATGGCCCTGGTTTTGCTCACAGCAAGTATGAAGGCAGTAAATAACAACAGCTCTAATCTTCATGCAAATTACATGAGCACACCTTTTCTAGAACAAGCATATGAAATGTAACTGAGTAATGTACCAGCTCTGATCCCACACATGTTCTCTCTGCATGATTTTTCTTCCTACACAATCACCCAGCCCTCATCATGCTTTTCACAGCTTCTTAAGCTTTTCCTGAAGAGCCCAGCAACAGCAGTGGTAGCAGAAAGCCTTTTCCCACTGAGTGAAAGCTTGGAAGGGAGCAGCTCTATTGCTTCTGTAAATGCAGCAGTGTTTGCAAAACTGTGTGTGTAGAAGGGACAGAGAAGTCTTGCATCCCTGATCAGCAAGTTGGACTGGTTCCTCCTGTAGCTGTTTGCCTCAGCACCGTGTGCAAAGAAACAAAGGCTTCTTTTCAGGCCCATTGGTGTGACTGAGGTTTGAGGCTTCCCAATAAATAGTGTTCAATAAATAGGTACTGGAACACAAAGACTATTCATACTGAGGTGCCTTGCACAGAGGTGTGGTTGCCCACTGAATGTGGCCCCAGAGGAGCTAGTGCAGAACAGTTTTTGGGCTGTACAGTTCTTTAGACCTCTTCTCCCTGTGCTGTGCACATAAGGCTGAACTCTTTTGATAGGAGTGCCCGTTTGTTTTTGGTCTCATGCAGTTCCCACTGTATTGTTGACTCTAGAGACGTAATAGTGATAAGGCTCTGCTCAATAAACACACTGCTGTCCAGCAAACAGCCCTGTGACTGGGCTCCCCTCAGCACTTTGTTCTCTTTGTAACGTGCCCTGATCTGTGAGCAGTGGAATTCCAACAACAAACTATGGTAAATAATGATTCAGGGACGCTCATGAGAACTAACATCACAACCCGGGAAATGGGAAATTGTACAGAAATTTACAGGAATTTGTAAGGAATGCTATGCAGAGGTCAGTTTGTGACCGACAGTTTATGTCTTTGGTAAATTCCTGCCAAATTTTCTCAGCATGTTGTTTTGTTAGTGGTGAAATTACTCTGAAATTACAAAGGGACCCCATTCAGGGTGAGATGCTGTTCTGGATGCAGATCAGTGTGAATTTCAGTCATCTTGACTCCCTAAAACTGGGAGCTTCAGTACACAGCTGTACACTGCTGGTCAACAGCCTTCAGGGAGAACAACCTTAGCTGGAAACGGGGCAGGGTTACTGGGGCCCGTGTGAGAGCACAGAGTCAGTCTGCCAAGGGCATGTTGATGTTTTTAAGTGCAACAGGAGGATAAATTCCATTGCACATTGGCAGAGTATTGCAATTTGCTTATAGGACTATGTTTGGTAAAATACATGGTTACTATCTGACTGAATCAATACAGGGTGAAAGTTAAAAGACATGAGAGTAGGGGAGCTATGGAGCAGAGGCAGGGCAAATAGCCCAAAAATTTCTGAGAGAGAGCTTGATAACTTTTATCAACAGGGTGGCATGACATTGGTGCATTTGATAGCAATGTTGGAGCTCCTTGGACATGAAGACTCTTTCTTAGCATTGTGTTAGTTCTTGGTAAGAGGAAGGTGCTAGAGTGGAAAGGGGCCCCAACTTCAACTGAGTCTAATGCAGCCCTGACAGGCCAGTCCTGACTCCAACACAGTGAAAAATAATCATGGTGTATGGCAGGATATCTAATGAGGAGCAGCTCTGCTGTCTTGTTCCAGCTCCTCTGTTTGTTCCTCATGCAGTTTACGGCTGCATAGTCCCATGCTTCAATAAATCCATGAATTATGGGTTCAGCCCTACAAATGCTTGCCACTGAGAATCCTGCAGTAATAGCTTTGAAGGGTCAAGTCCTTGCTGACCCCCTAAGTCTTGACATGCAAAGGGCTCATCACAGAAGCTCTTGGGAAGTGCAGTCAATTTAATTTTGACAGGACTGCATATGCAAAAGACATTAATTTTTAAATTCCGGTCGTTGTAAGCGTTGGTTGTAAATTTGCTAACTCCTGATAAAGTTAGGGTTGAGAGAAACCAAATACTTGGACTAAAACACAGCAGCTGTTGACCTGGCCATGAATGTACAGATCAATACATGCACCCTCCAAAACAGCGAGCCAGAGTTGTGAAGGGGATTAGGAAATCAAAAATAACTGTTTTCTTTCCTTTTTTTCCCCTCCTAATTGTGGGACGAAGTCCAGCCCCTTCCAAACTGCAAAATTCATTATAAAGTCACTGAGTGGAGGCAAACCTGGGACCAAGAGGAGGCTTAAAAGAGAGTCAGCCAGATGCAGCCTTATAAATCCCTGGAAGAGCATTTGGCTGTACAGGAGATGACCAAGAGGCAATACTTGTGTGGCCCCATCACTTTCCTTGATGTTCCAAACAAGCTCCTGGTAGAGGAAGACCGTATTTCATCTCCTTGCTGGATTTTTCTCTACAACTTATTTCTACAAAAGTACCCAGTTCTTTGTTAAGGTTTTAGGTTACTGTGAACAACAAGGGAAGTCTTTTCTCTATGGCACTCTTCCTTGTCCCACTCTTTAATCATGTGTTTGTTGGCAGGTCTGTGGAGCCACTCTTTAATCATGTGTTTGTTGGCAGGTCTGTGGGGCCTAGTGAACAACGCTGGCATCTCAACCTTCGGAGAAGTGGAATTTGCAAGTTTAGACAACTACAAGAAGGTGGCAGAGGTCAACCTATGGGGCACTGTGAGGGTGACAAAAGCTTTCCTGCCCCTCATTCGCAGAGCTAAAGGTACATGCTGGGCAGTGGGGTAAGGCTTTTGTAGCACAGCAAAGAGATGTAGCTAGAAATCCAGGCTGTCCTTGGGGGAATGCTTGTGCAGTCCAAGGAGGGTTTCTGAGGATGCCATGTAAGCATTTGGTAGTACAGGCTATTCTTGGGGCAGGCCAGGCACCTGCACAGCATGTGCTATCTTAAACATCCAAGATATCAGAGACCTTTGTGCAGTGTTGGCAGACATCACACAGACAAGATAATCCAGAGTCCACAGAGCGGTCATGTTTGGATAACTGCATCTTCTCCCTTCATGTTATTCCATTCACAGGTGACTTCAGGTAGTGACAGAATAAATGAGAATCAATGACAGCCATTTCAGATATCTTACAAGACAATGGTATTATCAGAACTCTTTGTTTTATATTGAAAAAAGATATGTATGAGCAGACTCTGAAGAGCTTCTTTATTTAGCATGTGTGGGAATGATGGTACAGGTGTGTGTTCTGGGAGGACAAAAGGGGGCTATATTAAGAAGATTGCTCATATGCCATTCCCAGACAGTAATTAAACACCAAACAAGCTCTATCTCACTACAAAAAATATCTTATCCATCAGCTCAGCAGGTTGATCTCACAATCCCTCTAGTTACACTTAGGTCTGGAATGAGACAGTAGAGCTGTCCACTTGTTTCTCAGCTGAAATTTCGAACTGCAGAAGGGTGTTGTGCTCCATGGCTGTGAAAATTCTCTCTGTAAAAATAATTGGTGAAATTTCAAGGGCTTGTTTATAAGTGTATCTGAAACCATAGTGCACATGTCTTGCCTTGGATGAATGCTGAGACACACAGAGAAGTGACCACTGCTGTCACTGCCCTGAGGCAGCACCACGAGGGCTCTCACGGGCTGTTGGCAGTAATTAGGACAACTGCTCTCCACTGCCCCATGAACAGCAGCACAGCAAGTCTCCTCTTGTTTGTCCCAGGAATGGCCACTGTAGAGACTTGTGGCTGACCAAATGGGTGAGTGGGTTGTGCTGCTCATGCTGCAGGTGCAGAGAAATCTCTGTTCATTCTCTACCATCCAGCTCAGGTCTAAAGTACACACGTGTGTTAGGCAGATGAGCTGTCAAGCTTGCAGAAAGAACCAGAATGCTTGTATGGCATCACACAGAGTTGTGAGCTTTGCAGCTCATGACACTCCAGGCTGGGAGCTTGAGCCTTTCTCTAGCAAAACAATGGGTGAGGCACACTCCTGAGAACACACAGCTAGCAGTCTCTAAATTCCCTGCTTGGAAATTAGGAGGGAAATGTCTCGTATGCTTTGTAAATTCTTTGATGCAGAGGTAGGCATATGCACCATTCCCTGGAGAACAGGGGTTAGCCTTGCCTGAGGCAGGAGAGAAAAGCTCCATGATAGGGGGTGTGCATTCAAGTTTCAGATTTTAGAAATCAGCATCATCCCACTAAGTACCCTTTTACTGGGATGTTCTGGCTGCTGCTTCTGCAGCTCATCCCCTCCCCCTGATCCTTTCTCCCTAGGCCGTGTGGTGAATATCACGAGCATGTTGGGGCACATGGCGAGTCCCTCTCGCTCCTGCTACTGCGTTTCCAAGTTTGGGGTGGCGGCGTTCTCCGACTGCCTGAGGCAGGAGATGTACCGCTGGGGCGTCCGCGTCATCCTCATCGAGCCCAGCAACTTCGTGGCAGCCACGGGCATCCTGACGGCAGCCGGCGTCGACAGGCAGGCCGAGGCTCTGTGGAGCGGCGCCACCGACGCCGTGCGCGAGGACTACGGCAGAGAGTACTTCACTCGCCACGTGGCCCTGATGAAGTCCTTCGTGAACAGTGGCCTGAAGGACATGTCTCTGGTCTTGGATGACATCGCCGAAGCGCTCACGTCCCCGTGCCCGAAGAACCGCTACAACCCCATGGAGACCTACTGGTGGGTGAGGCTGCAGGTCATGACCCACCTGCCCACGGCCATTGCCGACTGGCTTTACATCCCTGGAGCCACCCTGTGAACAGGCATCCTTCAGGCATCCCTCCAGGGCTCCTACTCACTCACAGCTAGGGCTCACCTCTGCACTCCTTGCTGCTGCGTCTCCCCTGGAGATGCATGTGCTTCCACTTTGAGTTGTGGCATCAAGTTGTGTGTTGTGAAATGCTAGAACAGCGTGGTTTTTTAGTTCTTTTTTATTTCCTCATTCTTGTTGTTTGTATTTCTTGCTGTGCTGATCAAAGTTGAAAGGTGTTTTCCTTTTAACTATGGAGGAAGCAGAGGAAGGTAAATATAACATGAAATATGTGGCTAGTGTAATTAGGTCAGCAGATAAACTTGGCTTATTAATGGGCTGTTGCTTTCCCTTACAAGGACAAACTGTTAATAGCAGAGCAAAGCTGTTGCTATGAGATGGCTTGAAGGGAGAAACTAAAATGGGAAACAAAAGCAGAGTTTTCCATTTGGTTGAAAATGGGTCAGTCACAGCCTTCCATTGTTTTCCTGATACTGCCAAGAAGCTGTGCTGTGCTATGACTGTCTGCTCTTTCCAGGGAAACAGCAACACTGCCTCTAAACTGCCTCATTACTTGCTGCAAAGAAGGGTTCTTCCCTCCCAGCACTGTGGCCAGGAGATGCCAGAGCCAACAACTTGCAGTTGTTGGCTCTGTTTTTTTTTATTTTTTCACTGCTCAGTTTTCACAGAACAGTGAAAAGCCATACTAATAATGAGGTCTGAGCCACCTCTCAGCAGCCCCTCTCCACCTGCTGCTGCTGAGCTTTGTGTGGGACAGGGTTTAAAGTGATGTAGCAAGCAAATTTGGCTTCCCTGACTACTGCCTTATGTGCCTGACCTATGTGAGGGATATGCTGTTGGCTTTTCCTCTGCATTTGAACAGTGATGGGTCTCTGTGCAGCTAGTGTGGCCTGACTATGAGCTCTGGAAGGATGCTTTAAGGGACACATTTCCTATTTCTAATATTGCACAATGAAATCTCCATGTCACACAATCATCTTCTCAATCTACCTCTTGATAACTGATATGATATATCTTGCCCAGTATCCTGAAGGGTTTCTTCTGTTGGCCATGTGCAGGATTTTGATAATGTTTTCCAAGTGCATGGCTGCCTGCCATGCCCCATTCCCTGTGTTCTGGTGGTGACCACTGGTGGAGCAGCCAGTGAGCTGCAGGTGCTGCTGGCCAGGCTGGGACCTCAGCCTCTTACTCTTAGGGACCAGCTTTTCCTCCCACTGTTTTGCCTTGTGTGAGATTAAGTGGCTGTGAAAAGAGCTTATTGATTGCTCTTTCTTCATCTGTCTCCACTAGCTCTGACTTGGAAACTGTGCCTTAAACTTTTTGCATGCCACTGTCTGCAAATTGTTGGAGTCTGCAGGCAGCCATGGATGCTGTGATGCCTTCAGGAGGAAAGCAGGTTTCCCTTGGAGATGCTGTCAAGGCAGCTTGTCTTACAAGTAACAACTGCTAGAAATACTGCTGTGCAGTTTGTGTCTTTTCCAGATCATCTGCACATGGAGATTTCCTGGGATTTGAGACCCAGAAGGATCCCACTGAACTGCAGCTTAAACAGTAATCACTTCTGCCCCCTGCACTGTGAAATGTGATTAATGTTAAGTAGCTCTGATTTGCACAGAGAGAAAAATAAACTAAGATTTTTAAAGCATATGTCTCTGCTCCAGTGCTCATTTCTACATTTGTTTTCCCACCTCTTTTGAATCTGAGGTTGTGATTTAATTAGGTTCAGTAATTAAGGAGGTGGTTTAATAATAACAATTAATGATGTTTCAGCAGATAGTAGGACTGTGAAGGCTAAGTGAGAACTGCCTGGAGCAGAATGGGCAGCATGGCCCATTTCCTCAGCAGAAGGCAGTTAGAGAGGCCTCTCTGTAAACACAGGCACCGTCACTGTTTGTATTTTGTGTGGTTTCCCTCGAAGGAGGTAGTTTAGAGCAGTGCTGTGCATTATTCATTGCCTCAGCACTCTTCATGTAACTAATCCAAGGGCTACAGCTGCCTGGTAAAAAGGATTAGCTCCTCTCACAGATAGAACGGAGACTGGCAAGCCAAGAAGTGTCCCAGGCCATGCAAGGACCTCGTGGTTGATCCAGGGTTAGGATTTCACAGCATGTGAGCCCCAGTCCCCTCCTCTGCCCCCTGAGAAGTGCTCAGGAGGGCTGTTAGTGCCTGATCTGGTTTCTGCCTGGAAGGGGAGCTCTGGCTGTCTGGGGGCGAGAGAAGAGTACATTTCACTCCACAGAGTTGCACTAATATGGCATTGAGAGCAGATTTTTGTTGTGCTGGTGGGTAACAGAGGGAAGAAAACTCAATTCCAGTTGACAGTGACCTTCAAAGCCAGAGGACAAAAGAGAGAAGTTCAATGAAATCCCATGGAAGTCCATGCTCATTGCTGCTGTGATATCCTACACAGAGGAATTATACTGCCAAAGCTTGCCATGGCTTTTTTTTTCAAGCACCAGCTGCTGAGGCTGTGGCACTGTCCTACCTTTTTCTGCATGTTTCTCACAATGCTTTGGAAGTCAGTGATGGTCCAGCTCCTTAGTGCACCCCTTAGCCTTTGTGAAGTGGTCCTGGTTTTCTCTTCAGATTGCCAGGTTTCCTGTGATGGCACAAGAGGTGGTCAGTCCTCTGCATGCTACGTTTACCATGGCTCATCTTAACACAGCAAGGAGCCTCCTTGGGTTTCCCAAGCTAACACTGCAAGTTTAGATACCAGCTGCTGAGGCTGTGGCACTGTCCTACCTTTTTCTGCATGTTTCTCACAATGCTTTGGAAGTCAGTGATGGTCCAGCTCCTTAGTGCACCCCTTACCTTTGTGAAGTGGTCCTGATTTTCTCTTCAGATTGCCAGGTTTTCTGTGATGGCACAAGAGGTGGTCAATCCTCTGCATGCCATGTTTGCTGTGGTTCACCTTAACACAGCAAGGAGCCTCCTGGGGTTTCCCAAGCAATCACTGCAAGTTTAGATTTTCCAGATCACTTCAGATTCTTTGTGTCTTGACCAAAACCCAAGCCCTAAATCATCAAGTATCAAGTCTCAGTGTATGTTGCAGACCTCAAGGATCTGCAGTTCCTGATTTAGCTTCAATATGAAATCTCCCCTCGCAGCAACGGCAAAGATGTTATTGTGGGTGAAGGGAATAAAGATCATCTCTAAAAGCCAAGAGAAACCAAATGCCTCTTCTGAATGGCAAGAGTTGCAGAAGTGTTTCATTTGAGGCAGAGGCAAGATGCAGCAAATTCCTATGGAAATCCTTCACTGACAGTCCTGTGTTCACCTCTTCAGGGAGCTACACAGAGGATGGGAATCTAAACTTCTGGGCATCACAAGCCTTGACCACTGTCAAGGGTGGCTGATGACTTAGGTTTGCTGCTCTGATGTGGCTGCAGATCTCCAGCAGCTGTGAAGCTGGCCAGGAGGCTGCTGTTTAAGTATCAAGTCTCAGTGTATGTTGCAGACCTCAAGGATCTGCAGTTCCTGATTTAGCTTCAATATGAAATCTCCCCTCGCAGCAACGGCAAAGATGTTATTGTGGGTGAAGGGAATAAAGATCATCTCTAAAAGCCAAGAGAAACCAAATGCCTCTTCTGAATGGCAAGAGTTGCAGAAGTGGTTCATTTGAGGCAGAGGCAAGATGCAGCAAATTCCTATGGAAATCCTTCACTGACAGTCCTGTGTTCACCTCTTCAGGGAGCTACACAGAGGATGGGAATCTAAACTTCTTCTGGGCATCACAAGTCTTGACCACTGTCAAGGGTGGCTGATGACTTAGGTTTGCTGCTCTGATGTGGCTGCAGATCTCCAGCAGCTGTGAAGCTGGCCAGGAGGCTGCTGTTTAGAATTTGAGAAGCACTTCTTGCACATCTGGCTTTGAACTCATAGCTGAGAAACTGCCCACAGCCAGCAATGTTCTTGGGAAAAGGAGGCCAGTGATGGCAGTGCTTTCACACACAGCAGTGCCCTGAAACCAGGATGGGAGATAATCCAGCACAGCTCTCCTCAGCCCCAGGTCAGCGTCTTCTGCTTCTGATGTCCTCTCCCCTGCTCCAAAAAGTCTTCTTGTGGGGTCACTCTGTCTCCCAGGCAGACTGCTTCCCCCAGGGCTTCTCCTCTTCCTTGAGAAAAAAAAAATATCAAAAACATCATCACTATCAGTTGTACAAACATGTCAAGTGGAGATTAGGAAGCCGTGCTAAAGCTCTTCACAATAGCCAGAAGAGGTGAGAAGGGCTGCTGAGGTCCTGCCTTGCACAGGGCTCAGCCCTCTGCCGTGGCCAGGGCAGTGCCTCGGCCTGGGACCTTTGCAGGCTCCGGGATTCCTGCAGGGAGCTCTGCTCAGCAGCACCCAGCTCTGCAACAGTGCCACCCAGAGCACCGCACACGGGAGGCTTGCTCAGCCTTTTGGAAATTGAAGACCTCAGAAACCCAGGATGGGTTATCTTCCTAGCTTAAAGACTGCCCCATAAATGTGCTGGTGCTGCATAAATAGCAACAGCAGCACCTGTGCTTCTGGCTGGGGTTTTGAAACACAAGTTTACAGCTTCTTGTGTAACCACAATGCTGAAAAATGTCTTAGAAACAAATCCAAACCAATACCAGCAGGTTTCTCAGCCAGCAGCCTCAGCCCTGGGGATTGGAGAGATGCTACAAATAGAGAATTTGTAAGAGAGCCAGCTCGACCTCCAGGGCCTGGCCTGGAGCCAGATACAGTTAATTCATTCTCAGCAGCGTTGGAAGGGCCACAGGGATGTTACTGATAGAGCCCTATCATCCTCTCCCCTGGTGCTCTTTGAGGCAAGAGCAGACCTGTTTTCACCTCAAAATACTGATAAATAATACCTCAGCCCTGACAGCAGCTTATCAGAAGGCACAAAGGAGCTGTGTGTGCAGGTCTCCTGCAGGATCCAGTGCCTTCTCCTGTGGTGTCTTGAAGGGAAGAGCTCTCCAGAGCCAGCCCAGGCTGGCAGCATCATCCCACTGGGGCCGAAGGCAGCTCTGGGCACAGTGCTTGGCTGAGCCAGGGTTCAGTGCACTCATCACAGCATGGTGCAGTGAACATGCCATAATTCACTGCCTGCAGGCCAGCTTAATTTGGTTCCCTGAGGGTGCTTTGTCTCACTGCACTTTATGCCAACAGAGCAGTGGCACAGGGGGTCCCTGCCCACCCCTGGGTGTGGATGTGCAGTATGGCTTTCCTCTGCCCTTACAGAGAAGCTGACTGTGTTTTATCCCCATGTGTATGGCCAGGGGGGTGTTCCACAGCCAGCATGGAACAAGGTTGTCCATCCCCCTGAGCACGGACCCTAGTATGAAAACTCTTTCTTGAGCAGGACCTAGCAGATGATATTAAGAAGGACAGTGGTATTTCCGAGTTGTTTCCAGCTCCAGCACACAGATGGAACAGATCTGGTCACCTCAGATATTCCTTCACTGTGTTTGCCAAGACATTAATGAAAGTCAAAACAGGAAAAATGAAAGAATTCTTACTTTGGTTGTAAAAAGAGCGTTCAACAGAGGAACCAGGTAAGAGCTGGTCTGTTTTAATGGTTTGGTGGAAAGGCTTCTGCCTGGGACTGAGATGAAGCACTTCTGGCCCTGGCACTGCTACAGGTTTGCTAAATGCCCTGAATAAATCATTCTGCCTGCACCAAGCTCCATCTACCTCTGCCACCACCCTGCCCATGCTGGAGTTACTGTTATAACTGATGCCAGAATAGGTATTATCCCCCTTCCCATAGACTGAATTACTTTTTGTGGTAGAATAATTAATGTGGTGACTCCAGTCTTCTGCGTGAAGGCTTTTAAAGTCCTCTGAATTGTGAGAGCTGCAGGGAGGAAGAAGCCAGGGTTGAGGGCAGGCATTAACACCATTGTGCTGCTCTTAAACAGGCACCAAGGTTAACCATCACCCCACAGGCACCTTGCCCAAGGGCCTTGAACAGCCACTTGGGGGAAAACTCTGCCTGCTCTATTACTGCACACCCGAGCAATTGTGCTCCAGGGGTGTGGGTGGTACCTATCACCTTGTGGGGTCAAGTGCTGTAGGAGAAGTCATTTTCCTGGTCAGACTTTAACCAGGGTTACTATGACAATCAGTCAGCAGGCTGTCCTTGTGTCTCCTTCCTGGTTTCTCCTTGCTCAGAGGTGTTGAAGCATACAGAACGCAGCAAAGCACCTTCCCTTTCCAGCTCTAATGAGAAGCAACCATTGCTCCAGGAAGCATGACTAAAGAGGGAGCTGGTGGGAGAGGGAATGCACCCTGGTAAGGCCCTATGGCCCCATCACTCACTGCAGGGGGGGATGTGTCAGTGCCTGTGTCCCGCTGGAGACATCCAGTGGGTGTCTGGAGTATGGCTGTGCAGCTCCCTCCCTGGGGAAAGCTTGTGCAGGTATTTAACCTGGCAGCCCTCCAGAGAAGAAATGAGGATCAAGTACTCCAACACAGCTGAAGTGCACTTTGATAATGAGGCAGAAAATCTGCCTGGGGACTCAAAAAAGGCTTCAAGGTAGCAGTGGCCATCTTCAAAGAGGGTGAAATGGTGTGGTGGCTTGGCTGTTGGCACGAGGTGGCTTTGGAGAGCTGCAGGACACAGCCATCCAGTGGGTGCAGTGGTCTGTCCATCCCAACAAGGCAGCAGAGTTTTCTCAGAGCCAGCCCAGCCTTGGTGTGGGGATGGAGCCAGTGCTTTTACTGGGAGCTGCTGCCACACCATGTGCACACACAGGAAATGCTTCTGTCCCCATCTTTCCCATATTCTCTCAGCCCACACACTAAGTCACAACACATCCCCTCCCTGCACATGTTCTTTTGCTGTACACCTTTGTCAACAACCAAGTCCCTAAGACTCTGCAGCCCAAGAGCACATCTGGATCTTCTTTTTGCACCACTTTCACAGCCCTGAACCACACATGGGTTGCCTGGTTCCCTCAGGCTTTGGGGACACCTGTAAGGGGTGGCTGCTCCCTTGCTACAGCACTAACAGGCACTAAGAGGAGCAGGAAGCCCCCAGCTCCCTGTGGGCAGGGATGGCACTCGGCCCAGCCAGCCCAGCTCCTTCT